GGCTCAGGTGAGCTCACGTCAGCCATTCGTATACAAGGATTAAGAGAAGAGTACATTTCGCATTCTTTCTCGCACACCACGACTGACCTATGTGTTTATTAGTTTCTGCCATCCATGGATCAAGACAAGCAAATGTTTTGTCAGTCGGTTCACTGGGTTGGCAGGGCAGGACTGACCATGGGATTCAGACTCGTGACACTAAGCTTGGCAACAAACAATGATGCATGCTATTTATGTAAGGTAAAGGTGCAGCCCTGAAATTGCTTGCTCACACCACTGCTGTAGAAAGGGGCCTTCACTCGAGGGAGCTCTTGAGAGCCCCTCTGGAGGGTATTTGGCCTATTCTTACACGTGAGCTTTTTATTTACTGCACTTGAAAGCTCAATTTCTCATCTACAGATATTTTTCATTTCCAATTTTGTTTTTTTTTAAAGACAGCACGAAATATTTGTCGTATTGTATCTAGCTAGATGGCACTGTGGTTAGAGCGGAACAGGGTGATTTCTCCGTAACTGGCTGTCGCCTGATGACGAAACGTCATACTCGAATTGTACATTTTGTGGGTTTACTCTCCAACACACTGGTGTGCTGCGCTCGTAACGAACTGGCATGCATTGTTTACATAACAAACCTTAAAAATTGGCTGTGTCCGGTGGTGATGGCTTTAACGACATTTATATTCATGCGATCTAACCCGAAAACCTCTTATGGAAGGTTTCAAGTTTAAATTAAAATCAAGGGTCGACAAGGTCCAATATCCCTCGAAGCTGTTTTTTTATGATTATTAAAGGAGCGCCTACCCGTGGGATGCCAAGTGGTCATCCTATTAATAAAGTGGCCCTCACCAAGGGAACGTGGAATTTACACCACTGGTCCAGGGTTACCAATAAAGATGAGTGCTGCCCCATTGCCTGTTTAAGCAGGGAGACAGTCTTACTTGAAAACAGGGAAATCTCCGAGGCTAAATAGAATAACTGTGGACACTATTAAAGCGGGGCCAGATGTTGCATCATCATCAGTGGACCTATTTAATGATTATGCAGCAACGAAACAGTATCTCAGTCGTGGATTGATGCCTCATCCTTCTATTTAATGACAAAACATCTCAATGATTACAAACCCATGAGTCTTCGGTCACACGTATATAGATTGTTCGTGAAATCATAGGAAACCAAATACTGTCGTGGACGATTTAAAAAGCCAACCAACCACATGAACATGGTTTTAGAATAACAAAATGTAGAAATGAGATTCTAGAAATGAATTGTTTTTATGTTTTAAATACCATTATGCCTAGCTTTGGTAGACATTTTATTCAGTCGTAACTGACAGTATTTTTCTTAGCTCTCAGAAGCAGAGGTAAAATTTCATGTCATTTCTACATTTTTAGAATGTACAGTATGTTAAACTTTTGATTTGAAGCTTTCGTGACTGCAGGGATTTATATTCTTGGTTCTTTCGGTAAAGTCACATAGAAGGGAAACAATAACATAATAAAAATATAAAACAATACAATTCTCACGACGTTTCGACTGATTGCTTGTGTTGCAGTCGAAACGTCGTGAGAATGTTATTGTTTTATATTTTTATTATTTTATTGTTTCCCTTCTACGTGACTTTACCAAAAGAACCAAGAATATGTTCAACTTCTTTCCCACCGTTCTGTAGCCAACCGTGGTAATCGGAAGGTCAACAAACTAAACACAAAGAATCATCCATACCATCAAGGATTTTTTTCATATCAACATTTCTTGAGATATTTCCACGTAGAGCATTCAAGTTGATTGTTGGATCCAGCACTCACGGATTCACTCCAAGTCACTCGTGCACCAGCCGTCAGTCGCTTATCACTCTTCTCTCACTACTACCATTGTTACTGGTACCATGGTTACTGTTACCATGAACTTCGCTCATCGATTCCTCCGCCCATGTTCTACTCCTCTTATCTATCCCTCCTGTGTGAAATCACCACACTGCAGGTGAAAACGCCGTTCTCTTTCTGCGTCTTTCCTCACACTGCTTCACTGTGGATTTCCCTCCCATTGTCTCACGGTGGCGAGATGTTAACTACCTTGCCTGGTATACAAGAGTCGGTGGGTTCGATCCCGACCCAAAAGCCTGTATATTTGGAATCTACATGTTCTCCCTGTGGTAACGTGGATTTTTCTCCGGGTCCTCGGGTTTTTCACTCCACATTTAGAAACATGCGTTTAGAGTATTTGGCTGCTATAAATTTCCACACGATAAGCTTCTGAAAAAGAGCGCAATTGGCTCAGTGGGTCTCACCTTGTAAAATAAAAAGGTTAGTAGGTTGGGTTTTCCAAAGTTCCTATAAGCTTGCTCAATTTAAACAACGTATAATTATACCGTTTACATTTTCAATAGTGGTGTTTGGTGTCTGGTCGCTTTGCGGTTTAAGCCTTTGGAGCTGTGCTCAGCAACAGGTATAAACAAAAAACAATGATGTTGCAGCACTGTTAACAAGTAAACCACAACTCCTATTTCATCCCCAGCATTTACAAGATGTGTCATCGAAATATCGTACTTTGAAATCATAATTTCATTATCAATGCCTATTTTCAGCTGGGAAACACGGATTGTGACATGTGTCAACACGTAAAATAAGAAAATAATTAGTTAATTTACAAGAAAATAATTGGCCTACGGTGTTCAAGAGTAAATGTATTATACATAATATACTGCAGATATGCGTGCATATTGGGTTACATTACACACCTTTTTACACACACCCACGAGAAAACAAAACTGCAGACACCGCAAAGACAAAGATCCCCTGTATACTATTTTACACCCTGTTAGGGCAAGTGCTATTAGCAAGCACGATGAGTATGTAGTGAACATTATGCCTGGCCACCTTTGTCTCGCCTGCACCAGCTGTTCAATTAAGGGCGATTCGAAACTAGGGGAGGTTCAGAACTAGTTCAAGATGTCACTCGCCGCTGATGTTCAAAATTCGGGTTGCCACTGCACCACCGCGAACCCCTTGAGACACTGAACAGCTGCCATTCACAACTAAGTGATGGTGACATCACCACAGTGCTTGCACCAGGCTTGGTGCACTTTGAGGCAATGTGAAGTGTCAAAAGCTTGCTGGCAAGAGGTCACAGGACAGCTCCAGCTGTTGTGGATTAACTAAAATGACTGCCAGATGCACCACCTGTGCTCCCCACTGGCACAACACAAGCACATACATGCGTAAAAATGAGTTTCGAGAGACCTACGACCAAAACAATCAATTGTTACCCGACAGGTAAATTTTTACTTAAAACTTTCGTGACTGCAGGAAGAATACCCGACAGGTAGGCCACAGCACAAGTGTGACTGTTATGTGCGTACACTTTATATCACCTGGGGAATTAAAACACTTTAGATATAAGTCAGGAATCAAAATTCGTTCGCCAATGTCTCCACGAAGAGAGTTCTCTGTCACTTTCACTGCTCCATGGTCCGGGCGCCACTATTCATCATCCACATCCTATGGTCAAAACAGACCGACTCATTGCCGTGGCATAATTTTACACTTCATACATTTTCTTCTGTACAAGGGCCACGATACAAACTCTTTTTGGCAATCGTAAAAGTTCACCAACTTCTTGCACATATGACGTGCAAGAACTCAGCGCCAAATTTTGGGAAAGGACACGAGACATTTAAGGGCTGCACGATTCTAATTATACCAAGTCGCTCTCAGGATTTTAATGCTGTGCTGGTGAGCAATGCCCTTCAGATGGCTAACTATAAACGCCAAATCATTTACCTCTACGTTAAACCATCATACTTAAAGCAAGTGTATGGTTGCTGTAAATGAAATACATTCAATAAATGTACGCCCCCATCAATCCACTGCTAGATGAAGGCCTCCCATGTCACGTCAGACATGGGGTTTGATTGACTATACCTTTACATACTTGGCTGTGGATTGGTTAAAAGAGGAGATCCAGAGCCCGCTTGGATGCCACTCATTCTCGATGGCGGGGAATTGGACTGTAGTTTTTGAGTTCATGGCACAGCACCAATTAAAACATTGTTTAATAAACATGCGAATACAATTTTAACGGGCTTCATAGGGGTCAACAAAACTCAAATTGAATGTTAATTAAATTAACTTTTTTTAAAAAATATATCAAGATTAAAGCCGCAGACAACTATGCTAAATTCGGGCTTACAAGCTTTCCTCTCCCTTCCATCGTCTGTTGCTTAGCATTGACCACTTATTGCTTCATTAAGTCGTGGCTCAAAGAGTTGACACGAGGGCTTTGAGCCAATACACCAGACTTCACGATGGGTATTGATGGTGCAAGGACGAGGGAGGGGGGCAAAAGTCAATAGACCCATTAAACAAACTGAATGTGCCATCACTGTTGAACATGTCACGGGTCACACGCAGATAACGACAAGAGTATAATCTTCGTAAGTTTTCGTGCTGCAACAAGCAAAGGGACCTGAAATGAGAATATTATTCAGTGACCACAGGCTGATGTCACTAGCACTATAGGTTGCATCATCAGTCGTGATATTCGCGGTTGTTTCAAAACATTGTAACGCCTCTGCCTGTGGTGTGCCAATATGTATCATTCATGGGGTAGGTGGTGGGCAGGGGTGTCATGACCCATGCAATACACCGTGGCCTTTGGATAATACACATTTGGATATCACAATAGCTCTTGATTAAGCAAACACTTGCAATGATTAGCACGTCTTGCAAAAAAAAACACAATTTCGACAGAGAGATGTATATTTCCTCATGTATTACTGTTACAAAATAGAACCCTTCTCACCTTCGTGGATACACTCTAACCTTGGCTTGAGTCAACTCCAGACTCACGATTTAACAGGACTTATCACTCGTCTCAGCCAATGAATCAAATTCAGACGAATGTCTTCCGTAAAAAGGGGGTCACAGGATGGCAGATGTAAGAGAAAGACAGCAGTGTAGTTTTTGTTCCACTATTATTCTAGGAAACAGATGACAGCTGAACTAAACACCTGGTTTTTTTATTTCCCAAGATCAATATGAACAGTAAATGAATTCCCTCATTTTATACAAAACATTCCTGACAGGTATACAGTATACAGCTTTCATAAGCTTATGTATTTACAAATTACAATGTCATAAAGCCAAACCAAAAAAAATATCTATTTTCTTTTCTCCATCACATGCGATATATAAACAGCTTGTGCAATAATAAACCATAAAAGGCCCGTAAATCTTTCAGAAAATATTTACAGCTCATTATTTACAAAAAAGCAATAACAAAATTCTACAAAAACAATTCATTCGCAAAATATCCATGCCCTACATTTTAAAACTTTCATGGTTTTAGATTTGGTTCCACTAATGTTCAAATCTGATCGAGGTGTTTGTTGCCGTTATTTTTGAGATATGGGGTTGACATTTAAAGGTTACAAAAGTCCATTTTACCTTCTTGATTGAACTTCTTTGGGTATTCTGTATTTTGACGTAAAATTATTTTGAACATGTATACTTTGCTAGGTTCTTGCCGTTTGCTTCTTTAAAAACTACTTTTGTAAATGCATTTTCAGAATTTGTACTTTTTGGACTCCGTTAGCATAACTGTGGATAGTCATGGGATACATTTATTTAATCGTCCTGAGAACAGAGATTCCAGTATGTTGTAACGTGCTTAGGTTCTTTAACAGTGCTGCAAACAAGCAAGCCAAATGCACATCATTAAGATTTGCTTTCAAAAAACAATGTATCTATGTGTACATGCTAAATTTAAGGCATTCTTTAGAGCTTATATAGACAAATCACCTATGATTTTTTTTATAAATTACCCACTTATAAATACACTACACAGTACAAATAAATCTGTCTTTGAAAAAAAGTCTTATCCGTTAAAAATCCTAATACATATAGGCAAACTTAAGATACAACAGGCATCCATTAAATTTCCGGTTCAAGATTTTAAATTAAATCTTTTAGCAGTTTCAATCAGGACACGTAGATCTTAAGTTTTGCAATATCTTATTTCAAGTATAACATTCCCTCTTTATAGGTACTGGCAGTTATTACTGAATTCCCAAAGGCATAATAAAACAAAGACAGGCTTTAAGCAGTTGGTCACTCATGCAGTGCCAGCCAACAGGAAACATTAACAGCATTCTTTTTAACGCTGTTTTTTTTACTTGTGCTTTGTAAAGTGAAAGACAGAATTAAAATTTACACAAATGTACTTTACACTTGGCCAATTCATGTGGTAAAATTAAAGCTAAAGACTTCTGAACCATCTTAACACATTATATTCTGATGCAGTTAATGATATTAAGCAGTAACGTTAATATCAATTGACAGAAACTGCAGAACGCTTCCAAAGTGTGGTGCTCTTTATCAACGACATATTGTTGAGAAACGATGGTTTTTATAAATTTCTTTATGAAGAACACACAATGTGTCGAGGGACAAATTGATTAATGCACGTGAATACTGTACATGCCATAGCAATCTTTCTGGAAAAGGGGGGCCTGCATAGGAAACTGCATATTCACTGCTTGATGATCACATCCAGTAACTATGGAGATGTTTCTTCCCATTTCACAGAAAACGAACAGGCACACTTCACTGACCACGCTGAACAAGGGATAACAACCAGTGTCCTTCCCCAACCAATCCCGTCATACAATCCATGGGCCAACACATCATACAGCACGGACTGGAGCAAATGCTTGGGAAATTCCAACACGCGCAGAATGTTACGGTTAAGGAGTTAATTTGTGAAGAAAAAAAACATTAACAGTTTACTATTAACTCAAATGTTTAAGTACATGACATGTGGATCACTCGACTACTTGCACTGGGTATCCATTTGTGCAGAAAGCATTATACAGCTACATATAAAACATTATATTTCATCTAATTCATTGTGAATAATAACCTTAACGTCAATATTGTATAACTTCACCAGAAAATAAAACAGAACCAATAAAATCATTAAATGCTTCAATATAACACAGCTGGCTGTACAAAAGGCTTTCAAGAGTCCCATTAACAGTCTTTGTTCATCCACAGCATACAGAGAAATAAGTGCACGTTGTTACATTTTTCTGTCACATCTGGTCATCTTCGGTGTGTAGCTTTGAGGCAACTCGAGTTTTGAATTGCCGTTTAAAGCCAGAGATGTGTTCTGCATAGCAGATTGAGTCTGCACTTTTTTGTGGATAGAACACAGTGAGGTTTGCAGTCCTTAGAGCTTCTGATCAGTCACATTCAGTTCACAAGGCGCTCCCGGTTCGGCACTGTTCAATATTTTTGTTTTTTTATATGTCTGCTCTCTTTTTATTTTAAAAGGCCATTTGGGGCATTGGAGGTGTTGCATTAGAATTCAAGTTGTGGATTTTCATTTTGTCTTCTTTTTGTACCCACAGGTACATACAACGCAAACATGGATCCCCCATCTCCGGTCTGCATTCCTTTTCAGTGTTTATATATTTTAAAAAAAGACATTCTTCCACTTAAATAATCAAATCGACACACATGGAGTTTAAAGCAGGGGGACACGCGAGTGCAGCAATGCCGAAGATGACTTCATGTAAGCAATCGGGGCAGGCGGCTAGTGAAGCCATGCGTTGCCGCCCCTCACAGCACCACGTGGCTGCAGTGGTGTTTGAGCTTGCAGGGTAAAATTCCACGGTTGAGCTGATAGAATTCCACCAGCTGGATTAGGTCTGAGAACTTGGTGTTTCCATCATCCAGCGAGAAGAACATTTTTGAGTCCTCTTCAAACTGCACTTACATCGAAAAAACAAGAAATCGCAGACGTAAATTAAGTTAATTGAGAGAGATAAGTACTCTCTCTATACAATTTTACACACCAATCATTTAAATCAATCTGCTGCTGGATGAAGGTCTCACCGCACCATGTCGGTTGCAGACGTTATTTGGCCAAATTTCACCACACTGGTGGATAGGAGCTGGTGAACGTTGGGGGGGGGGGGACTGTGAGGGGGGGAGGGGGGGTTAGGGGGTGGTCAGGACCGATTTAGATGTCAGTCTCCACTGATGTTAGCCGTGGCCAGTAAATCGAACTCAGGAAGCATGGTCTATAGGGCAGTGTGGTAACCACTGCACCATTGCCCCTCCCCTCTTTTTATATTGCTTTGAATTTATTGCAGTGCTGCCAGATTTTTTACGTTAGAGTAGCACCAAGTATATTTAAAAGCAAGTTTAAACAAATAATAACATGCAATGTTCTTTTTAAATGCAAGTTATATTCACAATATTCAAGTGTAAAGTGCTTTTTCCTTCAGCAACAATGTTAACTGTTACGCACCAGTAAGATTTGAAAGTGTTTAATTTTCTGATGATGGCAGAGGGAGAGCACAAATGTCCTGGGGTTGCTCTGACTGTCTCGAAGAAGAAATAACCTGTGATGATCAGAAGGAGAAAACTGGAATTACTTCTTGTGGCAGACAAAAGGTATATTATGCGCTGTATAATATTTGAAATTACTGACTTATTAAGCAGTGATAATATGCTATCAACAAATATTTGAATATTCTGTATAATTTAAGCTGAAACTGCTAATAACAATGTTTCACTTTATGCAAAATCTGTTTACCATGTTACAGGATGCTTTGTTGTAACGTTCGTTTAGATCACACTGCGTGAAAGTTATTTTCATGCCCTTCAGGAGTGCAAGACTAATGATACAAATATATGTTGCGTGTACAATTAAATCTGAATCTCTGTACCCATCAACAAGGCCCTGCTGTGAGATGATCCTGTGTGCCTCCTCTCTTGGGATCCGTCCATGGAACCACGGCTGTGTCTTGTGAATCGCTGCAAGAAGAAAATAAAAAAAAACAAGCTCACATCTGTTTGAAATTTCTGCAGTGAATAATAAAATATACCATTTCGTACATAAATAATGCACATACCTCACGGTAAAATCTCTCTGAAAGTGTGGTGTGTGTGTAACAGTGTGTGCTCTTAATGGGGAGTGGTGGTGTAGCCGTTAGCGTGGTGCACTTTTAACCCAGAATCCCAGGTTCGATTCCCACTCATGGCCATCATCAGTGACTTATCTGAACCCATCCTGGGCCTCCCCTAGGTCGACGCAGCCTCAAATTAATACGTGTTACAGTGTGTAATTATCACCTCTAGAGAGACAAAAGCGGCCAGGCATGATGTTAGCCACCCACAGCCTTGTCGGCCTTCATTGGTGCTCACTAACAGCATTTGCCCCAACAGTCTGTTAAGGCTATAAGGGGGATCATAGTCTTTTCTGTTAGTCTCAGCATACCTATACTCATAGCAGATGGTTGGCAGGGGCTGGGGCTTCCCACCACACCAAGTCTCTGACAACCTCTCCTCTGCGAAAACAGATTAGACATTTTATCACAATATAATACTGTAGGAGGGAGAACTTACTCGCATGAAATCTCACATCAGAGATGCCAACAGGCACATAGGATTTACCACCACCCTCCCCAGAAGCACAAAAAAAGAAATGTAGGCTGACGAAAACCACAAGTAGAAATTAGTAAACATGACTGCATTGCACATTTACCCGCCAGGCCTGGCCCTCTTCCACTGCCACCGTCTGGGCCTCTGCTGGGTTCTCAATGATTCTTCCTTTGCGCCCAGAGAAATCCATCGCCACCAGTGTGTTCTCGGAGATGTTTCTCTGCCAAATAGAAACAGTATGTTACTCCGTAGTCTTGTGAGCAAGCAGGGAATAAAAGATGAAAACATATCTACTGCATAGATTTTCGCGGTTGCTTTGCATAGCGCTCCGTGTTCCAGTTTTTTCCAATTGTTGCTCTAACGTACATGTGCTGATGTCCGACATTTCGCAGCACATGCTGGGAGCACGTGGAGCAAAACGTCGGACAACACACGGTACAACCCAAAATACATCAGAGAGTGCAGCGTGAAAGGTATGGCCAAACTATGTTGAGATTCGTTATTAAATGTACACTCTTGTTTAGTTAAGCCAAACTTCTCAAATGTTGAATTTGAATGAAACAAATAAGGATACAGTTTACAAAATGTGCGAATGCTGTATGGCCTCATTTATTTTGGTGGTTATGGAATGTTTGAACACCAACAGTGCAAGCTGCCTCAATGCTTTTGCATGTGTGAAGCACATGAAGGGAATCAAGCATACCATGGGGGTGACATTCAGCTGGCCAAGGTGGTTTCGTCTCTGCTGCAGTAGCCTGTAGTTCTGGAACAACTGCACGCTATGCTGGATTAAACAAAAAGAAAAACACACCAAGAACAATTAGGCATTTAGGCCCAGCTCTTTCATTCAAAAGCGCCCGCGAAATGCATCGACGGCTCTAATGAAACTGGAAAATGGTAAGCACTGTAATTTGATTGGATTTACAACCCTGTGTCAACTGCTCAAGACCTGCCCCCCACATTGTCCATCGTTGCAGGGGTTAATGAACCATACTTCACATTGATCAGTGCTAATTGGTGAAGGGGAGGAAAGTGGAGGGGGCACCCAGGACTGGTTTACACATCACTTGTTACTGGTAGGATGTGGAGGGAAAATCAAACTCCGGTCACCAGATTCAAAGCAGTGCGCTAAATCACTGCACGAAAATGTGTGAACTATTTTTGGGATTAAATATCACTGACATACACTAACATGAACGCTTGTGACCCCGACCACCAATGGGTGGGGGAATTGGGAGCTGTCTAATGCATACCGGCGGCTGACATCTTTCAACATACGTAGCATAGGCTAACACATTTGGCAACATGAAGACACCATCATCCATTAAGAGCGGCCCAGGGAAGCGGCAATTATCCCAATAAAATATCTCCCATTCCAGTGTTGACCTAGAATTTTGACTGCTGAGTCACATGGGCGAATGTGTCAGTTTAGATTAAAGTGAAGGTGGAGAATATTTAAAGGAAGACAATGCCCCAAAATATTAAGATAGCTCATCTTGGTTACAGCCTATGTATCTGTATAGGCTGTAACCCAGATTGTCTCGACAAGCATGAAGCTTTGTTGGTGGAAAAGAGATCTAAAATCGGTAACATCACTGCATCTGTAGTGCATCAGCGACACAGGAGTATTTAATTATGTACATTTTATGTCGCCACTGCAGCAACCGTTACATGTTCCTTAACCCTCATGCACGAATTCTTAAAATATGAAAAAACGGTTTGAGTTTAATGCCATTTTGGGTATCAAAGGAACCACCCCCACCCCAACCCCCAAATATGTTGAAAAATGTTGTATAACTTGACATCAGTCATATTTTCTAGCTGTCCAGCACAGTGGACATATTTCATGAGCAGGCCAAATTGTCTCAAAACTCATGTTAAAAACAGCCTGAGGAGGCACAGTCAAGATAATAAGCATGAAGCAACTTCACCCTCGGAGAAATTTTATTAAATGTTCTTATTTGTAATCCTGTTGTTGCCATCTAATTTGAATTGTTTCCCATCTGTTACATCTCATTTGTGACAATATTTTTGTTCAATTCACCCAAATGTGATGCGAGCATATAATTGACATGTCATTTGCGTACATTATACACAACCAAGACTCGCACTCAATATTATATGCATCTATCACAAGCGTAATAATCTATTTGAATTTTTGAATTGGTGAATGGTTATACATGCTTCCTGGGCACGTACCTAAATTATGAGAGGTGGTGTGTGTGTGTGTTTTAGGTGACATCTTCCTTTAAAAAATGAGCAAGAGGCAGGAATTGTGGGGGCAAAGTGACACTGCACCGTGTCAATCACCTTGAAGAGCCGCATTGCAGTCATCCAGCAGGTCCGGCTTGCTTCTTCCTCGGCGCAGAATAGCTTCAATTCCTTGGCACTACTTGCCCTGTTCGACTGCACAATAGCCAATCCATTAATTAGGGTTTTCTGTTACAATTGTGCCCTTTAATTACGCCAAAGTGTGCAGAAAACTCACACTGGGCAAAATGCTGATGAACGAATCGCAGATCTTATGCATGTGCATAAATATCTGAACACGCCGTCGTGACAGGCAATTTTATTATCCAAATTTCAATCATTCCTAATATAGTACATGGCATTATTGCTACCTTTGTAGAATCATTTATGGTAGATATAAAACAGTCGTTTAATTCCTACTCGGTCATTAAATTATCCCAGAGGACTAAGAGTAGCCTTATTTATACTGAAAGTGACAGGTCATGCAGTATGTCCTTTCATAACCAATACATCACACAAACGTCATGCTCTCAGAAAAATCTATATACAGTACTGCACATTTTATTCTTAAGGTTCATGACACAGGATATTCAAGTATCACAGCATAGTAGTAAACCACCACTGTGTTTGACCCTGAACACATTGCCTTACAATAAGTACTTGCAAAGCCACCATTATGACAAGCTTCACTTACTTTTATGCAAAATCCAAAGTCTGTGGGTGCCCCGTACATCTTCCGTCCCGAAAGAACAGTGTACACACCACTGTCACTTAGCTCTGCATAACACTGCAGATGCCGCGGTTCCTGTCGACATACAATCCCCCAACAGTGAATTAATTGGACACCGATTTTTTTTTTTCAAGTTACCTACTTAAGAATCAATTTTTTTTGTTTAAACACACCTTTTTAAAGGTCTGTTTGAACACAGTGAATTTGGTTTACTATTAGATAAACATGAGACTAATTCACATGTGACAAGTGCAACATTTGAATGTTATTTAACATTTTTATTTTAATACCATTAAATACGTAATGTTTGTTGAGGGTTTTGTAAATGTTTAGCAATGAAAAATGAAGAATAAACTATTCGTTAAAAGATCACTATTAATGATAAACAATGTTTGTTAATTCACAACAGAATAAACAATGCATCCAGTCACACACACACACCATCTGCCTAACAATACAATTGTTGTGAAATTGAAAATATATTCTTGAGTCAGCTTCCTCTGTTTTACTTACAAAAACCACCTCAAATATATATAAACAAAACAGAATACATGCCTTCAGTTAAATAATGTTCAGACAGTAGAAAAAAACAAGGCAACAAGAATGATCGTTGCATAGTTGGCTGCCTTTTTAATCCACGAGCTGTAAAGACTGCAATGATTTTTAAAAAAGGTATGAAAAGTAAAGCTCGGAATAAAACTTAAATGTTATTTCTATTCCCTATTCAAGTAGTCGTAGCATGTGTACAGGTAAAGTAATGTGATGCTTGCCCTTCAGTTCTTCACCCTTCTGAAGAGCTATGTTACCTCGGAAGTGTGTATACGCATGTGTGTGTGTGGGCAGTGGTGGCATAGTGGTTAGCGAACAATGCTATGGGACTCACACCACCCACTCATGTGCCGTGCAGACTTTAAAAAGAGCTCGATAACAGCACTTGCCACAAGTCTATCATCGGCTATACGGGGCGTCTCTGCTTTTGTAAATATGTTGCAAGATCAGAGGTTATGAAATGCTGCGTCAAAGAGGGCAATAGCCCCTTTAACCCCACGATAAATAAATGCCTGCACTGCCTCTTATAGCTCTAACTCAAACGACCATGTTGGGTGACGTGATTACCGTACCATTAAAACAGATGGGATATGTTTGCCAACCAAACCGAGATGTGCTCCAACATCTGGCTCCAACTGGAATTGTATTGATTATAAGCAATACAATTACCACTCCAGTCGTGTAAGTTTATAGGTGTGTGAAAATGCATGCTTTTTTCCCAATACATGTATCCTTTGGCCTATAATCTTCCCTCCTAAAACAAAATTATTAATTGATGGGAAGGATATAAGCTTATGCCTATATTGATTTAAAAATATATATAGTATTGAGCACTAGAAATACAATTATGCAGCATCTAAGTGCAATGCACTTGCTATCAATTTAAAAGTGCAGAATGTTCTCATGTAAAGGGGTTAATCCAAGGGTTCAGAATTGCAGGATGAATAACCCCAGCATTCTCAATCCCCGACTTCCCCCTTGCCACCCACCTCAAGCATCCTATCTCTTCTCCAATTCAATGTGACAAGTACAGTGTGATTAAAAATGTGCTTATTGTCAGTTTTTTAGGAATAATTTGTTTACAAAGTTCTTCCATTCTCCCTCCGAAATGTAAAACTGAAGTTGTGCGTTTCTATGTCGTAGTAAGAACAATGAATATTTTTTGTCAGGTCTTTAGCGATGGTCCGGTTTTATGACCAACACCAAATATGCCCACCAAGTGCAAAAAAATACGTAGAACACTTGCTTCGAATTGTTGTTATCTCATGCCATTCCCACCGTTTACAAAAAAACACGGATTGAGCTAGATTATTTAAAATGTAATCCCTATCGACACTATTGCAAACTATGAAAAATTGTGTAATCTCTAGAAGACTTTTATAAATGAACACATAACATTTGCTTATGCCTGTGTTTTCATAACCTGCTAATGGTGCAGTGTATGAAATTACTACTTTTTATAAGCAGATTTTCATATTAAGAGCAAATATGATTTGTTAATATTGATTATTTTGCAGCCACTGTGCATCCTTACCAACAGAACAAACATTGTGTGTGTACAATCTGTGTCACATGCTAAATGCCATTCATATGCCCTCTTGGTGAACCCTGGAAGCCACATCTTCCATCCTCCATTACAGAAAATGACAGGCAAATTGGGTTTTATGCTGTAGCACCACCCTACCCGCCCCTTTCCCAACCCATTCAAATTATGTAAAATGTGTTTATGTTAATTATACACCATAATGAGTACCTATAATAGTTATAAAACAAAGAGACTTTGTATTTAAACGAGTTGTACCAATTTTTTTATAAAATATATAATTGCCAATCTTAACTATCCCCATTTTATATAATTTGTGTACAATTAAATACTTAATTTTTGCCTCAAATTTCTAAAAATAATGCTTTATCTTAAAAAGGACCCATGTAATTTTGACCTAACACTATTTAATACTATTGTGCATATAAACTTCTAGAAAACATTAAACTTGACTTTAAATAAGGTTAAATGCTAGTGAATGACAAGGAGATATTGGTCTAAGCTGATCGATTTCTGGCTAGAGTTTATAAAATAATGCCGCACGTTTTGTTCCATCGAGTAAAAAAGTCTCGTGAAATATACCCTTTATTTTGTACTATACCGTCCCGTGGCTGAATTTGTTTGGCCAGTGGCATCATGACATTTGGAACATATTTGCACATTCGAGGACACTAGATCAGTAACACTATCCTACTGTTATGACCTATATGGCATGCACAAATTCAAAGTCATCCCCTTTGTCCCAATTTACATAAATGAATATATTACCAAAAACAGATTTTCATTGTTTGTGCAAGGCACAACAGGGCAATAGCCTAAAACTGATGGTAAGAAAGTATTTTCCCACAAAGTGGTTTCCTTTTAGAGACAAAAGAAAGGCAACAAAGACGGAACTGATTGAATTTCATCCAGGCCCCTACCTCACTTCCTCTCCTTTTGTTTGCATTGTCATTAACAAGAAAATCTTTGTTCCACTAGAGAAAAAACTGTGCTGTCACTGCTGATATTTCTTTTGATTTGCCCCATATAACCTCCTAAGTAATTCATGGATGATTTTGGAAAAATAACAAACTAAATTAATCATGTATTTCTGTGTTGTTACTATATTATATGTACATATTAAAATGTGTTGGGGGGAAAAAACATTTGCACGTCCACATAAAATATATATTTAGTGTCACTTTCCCTAAACTATTGCATGCTATTGCCAAAAATATTTTCAGGAGCAATTTTAGTTAAAAAATAGCGTTTTCCCCCTACACAATTTGGACATTTATCCTATAAAAATGGGATTTATTAAAATTGTCAAAATAATAATTTCATTGATTTTGTTGATTGTTCCATGGTTTTCATTCCTGGAACTGAGAGAGATGAAACTAGATCCTGTACTAACACATTCCAGGATTGCAGCTCAAAGTCTATGGAACAATGGGGGTGTGTGTCGATTCAAGCTAAATACTGGTAAAAGACAGTTTACTCCAACAGCCATTGATGCTGCAATGTATCAATAAACACATTCTGTGAGGTGTACAGGAAACCCAAATGTATACACAGCAATCCAGTTGCAACAACATTACTACAATCCATTCTCAGTTCATACTGCAGGCTTTATCAGGTTGAAGTTAGTCTCTAGCCTTGCACAGATAAAATACACCTTACTATTGCATCTGCCCCTCCAGTCATCACTGTATGTTGCCTTTAGTTGCCTCAAATGTGGCCCCTCTCAGAAACCGCCATTCTTTCCCGGTAAAGTATGGTCACCCAACAAAGATACACATTCCTGGTATAATGTGAAAATGTTGCAAACAGTTTCCTGAAAAATGTTTTCAGGTTACATCTAAATTTGTAAATGTCACATGAATATCTGATTACATAAAAGGCTAAATATATACACAGTGATGAGTGGTAGATTTGGGCAATGGGTTTCTTTAATTATGTTCTGCCATTTCCCCATTCATTGTGATTCTAAAACCCTGCCAGCAGTTTGAGATTTAACAGTGTCTAGAAAGTAGACAACTTATTTATTTTTTACAAATTGGGCTGACAACTTTACAATTTCAAACAAAAAATGTACACAACCTTTAAAACAAGGCTCACCCTGGATGTGCCTTTGGTGGAAAAGTAGAGCCCTGATCTTCTCAAAAAGAAGTATAGCTTCTTCCACGATTTCCTACCGGGCTCCTTCACATGCAGATAGCCCTGGATTTCTGGACAACTGCTGGAGTTCATGAAGTTCTGTAATGCAAATCCATCACATTATTTAGTCCTTCATGAGCAAAAACGGTACAGCTTGGAATTTTCTGTAAAGACGATGCGATTTAAGAGTTCCATTGACACACACGTCCTGAAGTTGGCACTCCTACATGTGAGCAAACACCACATTAAAATCTGGCGTGCGGTTAGTCACGTAAGCTGCATCGCGCGTGAGGGGGTTGAGGGCTTGGGGGAGAGGTGGGGGAGGAGGGTGAAATAGACACGCGATAATTTGACATGTGTATTCCCACCCCTTGTAATGACTTCAACAGCATTTGCGCTATAAAAAAATACAGTCAACTCCTTACCCAACTAATTTAGCACGTGCAAAGCCACGTGAGCCAAAACAGTAGAGACAGTACCTGGATCAGCTGTGAGTGTGGGATGCTGCCGTTCGACTCGTAAGGCATGGAGACCATGTGCTCCGGAAAAAATTGCTGAAGAAAATGCAGAAGAAAATCACTGTTAATTTACCTTGCATACAACATTCACAGGGCATGCCTATATTTAGTAAAGCATATGCAGTTATAGTATTGTAAGGACAATTCTGTATATATATAAAAACACTAAATGTGAGACAGGATTTTATGTCAATAATATACATAGCTTTAACAAAAAATAGCATTGCCAAATAATGAAAAAAACATACAATGCAGATGCCTTTGCGATGTTGTAACTTATTTGAAGTACATCGGCAGTTTTCCTTACCAAGGGGTTCTTGAAGAATTCGTATTTTGCGTAATTCTTTCTGAAGAAAAGCTTGTTGTCACAGTCAATGCCCCATGTAGATTGAACTTGCGCCACAAGTTCATGGTCTTCCAACGTCCTCTCTAATGCGTCAAGATCAACCACCCATGAGTACAAAGTAAATAATTACTCATCAAACGATGAAGATAACACATTTTCACCATGCACATATACTTATTCACGTGCATTGAAAAATAAAACACTTAAATTGGGGAGGCCTTCATCCAGCAGTTGATAGTGTATGGTGGATGATAATAGTGCAAACAAAATGTGTAAAACCAGTATTATCTATAAAAACTTGGAAGAATAAATTATTTTCTCTTGTCCATTCTTACATTTCTTCTCTTCACTGTACACTTACTTTTCTAGGACTCATAAATTGAACAGATAACCATTTGCCTGGCCATCCAGTAGAAGAAGTTATGCCAAAAAAAATGCATTCTATAGGACAAGCCAGGCTAAATGTTCAACGTGTCTACTGTGAAATGGAAAGGCCATCTTTATTATTTCACTGTAGCCTATAAACAAATACAAATGTATCTAGTCCACCACTCTCCTGCAGTCTTTTGACTGTTTGGAGATAAAGGTACAAGACTATCATAATAACGTACAGACTTGTGACAAATTAGACAGACATTGCTGAAGAATAGCAAAAGGAGAGAGGAGTGGGGTTTTGTATACAAAGGACGTCAAAATGACAAATATAGCGGTCATTATTTTGCACACATACCCAGGCTGAGATGAGGGAGGTGCTCTATGAGTGCCCAGCTGTTGTCGTCCACGCAGTTGTTCTTGAGGATCAGCGACTGGCAAACGTCACGCGCACTCGTCCCCGCCGGTATCTCCAGTGACCTGCTTGTGCCATCCTCGCTGAACAGTTTGACCACCTGGTAATCATAAAAAGCACACGCACACACACACACACGGTGGGAGGGGGGGGGGGCATTTGGCAAGTTAGGCAAAACGTGGAGCGTTGCATTTTTCTTGCTCACACCAACTGCGGGCAGAAGGGCCTCCCCCACTCGAGGAAGCTCTAAAAAGCCCCCCTGCCCCCTCTAAAGAGGGAATTTGGTGAGCTCTTTCTCAGTGCCGTTTTAAACTAGCGCGGGGCCTGTAGCATATGTTAAAAAGGGGCCCTAATTTTTTTTTTTAAACCCACAAATATTCAAACACACATTTTTTTTACTTGCATAGTAAAGTAATTGTATTTTTTCATTTGCTATACAGCCAGATAATACGACCAATCGCTAGCCTTAAAACACCCAGTCGTCGTTCATAAAAGTCGAAGGCGGTATAGAACTAGAGTAATAGAGCAAGTGCAGAATCGCTGAACCGGAATTGTTAGCTTGAAGGGCCCCGTAGCATATGTAGCTACTTTTGCTACGAGGATAATCCGGCACTGGCTCATTCCACATGTGCCAGACGTCTTACCAACGCTTTACTACACAACGTGTGACCTGTCAATTGGCTAACTGTGGGCTACTAAATTATATTGGTGGATGGATAGCGGAAGGATTTTAGAAAACTCTCCCATTGCTTCAATCGGTGCGCCGGCAAATGGAATAATACCGGCGGGACCTCTGGATTTGCAAGCCCAAAGAACTAACCCATTACACCACGGCACCATGCCCGTGTAGGAATTCACTATTCCACAACACATCTCTCATGCGCTGGCAAGAATACAAGGTATTGTGTAGGAACACCTCGTCGTGACACAGCACACAATTCACAAGACCGCGATGCTACAAGGCACTGGCGTACAAACACGTCCACACGTCAATGTGAAAATCTACCAGATGCTGGAAGCGAAATCGTCTTGACATACAGGATCAATGAAAGTGGGAGATGAATATTTACAATTACCAGGCGGCTAAGTGATTAGAGCAGCACCGGGCACACGCCACACAACAAGAGAGCCCCAAGTTAAAATCCAGGCTGATGCCTGCGATTAAATCATCCCAGTGGAGGAATATTCCCTCGACTCATAACATCACAATCGGTGTCGGAATGGGGTAAAAGAAAAACAAAAATACCAGGCTACCGTATTTGTTAATTACTATAAACACTATCCGGAATGATACTCGGGCATGTGTTAATCCACTAGTTAAAAGCCTTCCCAAGATGTCAAACACACGAGGTCCTGTCATAGACTATTGAATACACCAACGACAAACTAAAATGCAGTGCGCAGTGTACTCGATGCGTTTACTGAACGCGCACACAAAATACGGCAAAGATATTGTTGGTGTTTAAAACAATGCCCCCACCCCACCTCCCACCAAAAAAAAACACTATGCTTAAAACCCTCAAATTATGATGGACTATAATATTGTTACACTGTATTATAGCGAAATATCCTGACATTAAATTTCGATTTAAAGCTTTCGTGACTGCAAGGATTCATCTTCTTTGGTTCTTTCGGTAAAGTCACGTAGAATGAGAATAAAATAATAAATTTATAAAATAAAATAACACAATATTCTCACGACGTTTCGGCCACAACACAAGCGGCCTTCATCAGGTGAAGGGACGAGACTGTCTGGTAGGACAGCGCTGTCCTACCAGACAGTCTCGTTATTTTATTTTATCAATTTATTATTTTATTCTCATTCTACGTGACTTTACCGAAAGAACCAAAGAAGATGTATCCTGACATTGTACAGTTTTGACTCATGTTTTACTCATTAAATTATGGTTTTAAAAAAATGCCGTATTACACAACTCTCTGGTCTGTACGTCCCTTCATACAAGCCGCGATGCATTTAACTCAATGCCCACAGCTGTATTTAACAACGAAAAACCCCGACTGCCTTTCGAGTAAAAAGCTCGACCACCAAATGCATTGCGCAAAATTTGATATCAGCTACGCACGCACTCCGTTTGCAAGAAGGCCCGCATATCGATACACAAAGACACACAACATCCATTGTAACCCCATGCATTTCAACACCTCCTCAGCGGCGTTCCCAACCTCAAAGTCCTCGACTTCCCAGCACACACACTGGATCAAACGGATCCGGATCAATACAAATCGACAATACGTACTAAACAAAGATAAAGATATACGCCGTGCCACCTGCAGACATCGCTTTACAGCGCCCCTATTGTGCAAAGCGAACCATGTAAATTATTAAACGCGCGCCGCAATAACTTTAGCCCCGGCAAATGAAGCGAAGCCAAATAGAATAAGAGGCATCTTAGGGGTGGTGGTGATGATGATGGTGGTGGTGAAGTCGGTAGGTTACCTACCAGCCTGAGCTGCTGCTTCTTACTGGATTCGCATGCCCTGCAATCGTACGGGCAAAGCGACACGTTCGGGATGTCTGTTTGCCAAGTGGGTGTCTTGGAAGGTGAGGACAAGGACCCCATAGATCCGGGCTTGGAGAGTTTCGTGGGAGAAACGGAGTCTGCGGAAGTTTTCGTTTCTAAAGTCATTACCAAGCTTCAAGGCAAAGCCCTGCGTTGTAGTCTTTATGGGAACTTGCGAACGCGTTCCCTCCCTCCCTCCCCCGGTCACATGAATCGCCAAAACCACGCTCGCCTTCCTTTTATTGCCGAGATTTCACCATTCAAAGTTGCCCAACCACGACGGCACAAAATAAACTTTATACACCTGACGGGTCAAATTATTTCAACAACAAAAAAAATTCCCCATTGGACGACAGGTGGCTTTACATGCACAGCAGTCCTTCCATAACTATGAACAGGAACCACAACAACAACAACCCACCGCCTAACAAAATGTTAACAAAAAAATTTCAACTTTTATTATTGGTACTACAAACTACAGCCAACACGCAGCAGCAGCAAGCGAGCAAGCGAGCAAAGAGCTCACGAACGCACGCACGAGTTGGGGAGTGCGGCTCTGCTGGGGGTGGGGGCAGAGTCGCGGGGCTATTTGAGCGTCGGAAAGTTGACGCCTCCTCCTCCCCCCACACCACCACCACCCCCCTCCTCCACCTCGTTACGATATCCACGCCCCCTTTGGGGGGAACTTGCGACCAATCCACGAGCTGCGATGTGACATCACCTCGGGAGCAAAGGCCACGTGAGAGAGAGAGAGTGAGCGAGGCGAGTGGTCACGCCTCCGGCAAAAGAGGGCCCCATCCACCCATCCCCACCCACCCTTAAGCACGAGGCCTTTGTGGACCCAGCTGTGGCCGGACAACTGGAAAGCAGTGGAGCTGTGTGACCCACACACACACACAACACACGGCCCTGGTTGGCTAAGCTGAAGGATTAGATTCAATTGTACACAATGAAACTAATCAGCCTTTGTAACCATTAGTGGGCCTCCAGGGTTAAACAATTCCTAATTGGCAATGTGAATGCGACAGAACTGGATTTCTTCTCACCCCTATAAAAATGCTTTACTGCTTTGGGTGTTTTTTTTTTTACTGAACGCATAGATCACCGTTCTTTTATTGCCAGCGTTCTTTACTGTTCCATTTACAGCCATTATTCTTTGCACACAGTTTACTTTTGGTGATTTCCCCAAACCAGGCAACGTTAGGTAAAACGGTTAACTATTCCCTGGCTTAGATAATACAATGAACAATACATACTTCCATGAAAAAGTCACAAGTTAACATCGACCAAATCGTTTTTTTTTCAAGCATATACGGCCTTCTAATACATTAAAGCCAAGTGTAATTTAATCATCGAACCGCATTCGCTTGCAAAACACTGAAACAATATACAGTACTATACATATTGATAATACATCACTCCATAATTAACACTCCTAACAATAACATTAAACTAATAGTTTAGTAATGACTTACGAAGGATAAGAGCCTTTCTCACAAATAACGTAGGCATAATTACTAAATCCTGTAAGTACTATTACACAAAAACGGAACTATTGTGTTATTTTAATAAAACAAAAGAAAGACCCATCAGGCTTGGGGTATATGCTTCCTTCACTCATTCCCTATTCTCCACTTGGACCTTATCCCCCCTTCCCCAACTTTCCCACCCTTCTCCCTTCACCCTTCACCCTCCCGGACACTGCCCCTACATGATGCAACGCCAAGCTCCCACAGCTTAATTTCAGGAATGGTTCTGCACACCCTCTCACCTCTACCCCTCCCCCTACAATCATGTCCTTATCCCTTGTCCTCCCCACCTCGATCAACCCCAACTCAGTTAACCCCCTCCCCCACCTTCCATCCAACAGTATTAAATTGTGGAAGCTGCTTTACTTCAAGCATTCCCTGTTGGGCCATAAAACCTGACATGCCCCATACCCACGCCTAAAGCACTGGCTTATTCAGCTCTGTAAGTTTGCATGAGCTCGTAAAAGACAAGGCATTTTACAGTGCTGATGCTAAGGCAACATACTTTGTCTCCTTGGCTAGTGATTCATCAAACCGAAACCCGTCCACTGACACGGTTTCCGAAAATGTCTTGCAGAATTTGTCATTTTTGAAAATCAGTCCCACTCCGTTTCGTGCCAGGTATAACATTTTCTGTAAAAGGCTTTGGCCATTTTGTGTGCTTCCATGTCAGCTCGTGAATAGAAAATTGCACGTTTCTCCCCCCACCCACCGAACTGGAAATTTCCACTGCTGGAGAAACAGGTTCCCGAAAGCATTCTTGAGAAGACATTTCTTTCAGGCTATAACGTTAGTTGCCGATGTAAGTCAGGGAGCTAAATCTTATAGGCTTGTGCACATGAATGAATCACACACAAACGTCCAGGCCTCAGAAATAACAGTGCCAGGGCTTTATGGTGTTCATTAAATTAAAGGAGAGTTCTAGTGCATGTTTCAGCTGTTGCACAACTGGGTATGAGAGTACATTACAGATGGTCTATATTATGTGATGTAAACTTCATAACCACACACATATTAATACTGATGTGTTTTTTTTGCATGGTTATTTA